CTGAACCACCCAAAATGGTACAGATTTGACTTCTGAACCACCCAAAATGGTACAGATTTGACTTAATAATATTTTTATCGCAAACACTTCCAAGGCCTGCCATATTTGGAAATTTTACTTCAGTCTGAATTTTAATTGATTTTTGTTACAAGGATGGGCAGGACAAGGCAATGCTGGCTCAGATTCTCCAAGGTAAGAAGGTGCCTAACTCCCATTGAATCAGGCACCTGATACCTTTGAGGATCGGGTCCAATGATGCCAAGATGATATAGCAAATAAGCGAGCCAAAAAGTGGCGTCATCTAGAGTTTTGAAATATCCAAAACTCTAAACATCTGACACTTACTCAAAATGGAATTGATTTCTGGCCATAGTGTCTGTTCCTTGAGAACCGCTTTCAGCTTACAGCAGATGCTAACATGATCAACATAATCTAGCATCACTCGCACTACTTTCCCAGCTACGTGCTTCAGCCATGCCAGCGTTATCACGTCACAGAACTAAGAGAGGAAAAAACAACATATTTAAGAGTATAGCATTCAACATTTCTGAGACTCGTTTCCCCTTTTCAAATTCCTTTGCAGGACATAAACAATTACATCCCCAGGGAAAAGCCAGGAGTGGGTGAGTGCTGTATCACAGAGGTTGGACTGGTTGTAATAAGCTTCACCTACGTCTTCAACCAGAATGTGAAAAACTGATGGCTAGTTGCTTTCAGTCTCAACTAGCTTAAAGCCATTGTGAAAGTTACATGGAAGTGAACATTCAACCAGCGGGTTTAAAATGTACACATCAGTGCATGTGTTTGTTATAATACAATAGGGAAAAGGGTTTAGAACCACATATGCACTTGTGGTAACTGCGAACCCACACTTGTAGGTGTGAGATGTTACATTTGTATTATACTGAAAATGTAAAGATGAGCTGTGAAGCAAGAAAAAATATTTTTGTTTTAGTCCTTTGCAATTCATAAAGATTGCCTCAAGTGTGTGTTTTTTTTAACCCGAATATCAAAAACTGACAGTTCATGGTTTGTTCTCTTTGCTAGAGGTTTTCTTTGGCATGATTGTTGCAAGGCCTGAATTGTAATGTCACATAAAGCAGTTGTCTGTGCTGCAGGTCTTCCTCCATCCTAAATCATAACATGTTTGGACAGAGAAGGAGTTATTCGATGAGTGGCAGCTCAGGCTACAGCTTTGTGGCATTCCATTTCAAGTGATGATATGGTTTTTGCTAAAGTCTTCCAGCAAAGAAAGCCCTAATACTTCTAATATAAAACAAACTATAAATAAGCAGTAAAGGGCAAAAAGAAAACTTGTACCGTAACTAGAATTCTTCTAGCTGTATGGTCGCTATCTGTATTCCATCCTGGGTGTGCATGCGCTCCATATGCCTGAAACCAAAAGATTCTTGCCAGAAGTGTCTGTTGATCCATTCCTGTATCCCTCTCCTCTTTGTGCTCTGAAATGAGAGCATATGGAGTGGTGCGGACCGACTGCCTCTCCAGTTGCCTTTTTACTACAAACGGCCCTAACATAAGGCTCTGCAGCAGAGGGGAAGATGGCCAGGTAGTGGAATACACATAAAGACTACACATCAAAAAACTGTGGGTAAATAACCTTTCTTTTTTCTCCAAGTGATAGTCCCGATGTGTATTCCACAGTGTACACAGTCCCTATGTGTATTCCACTGTGGGTGACTCACAAGCAGTATTCATTGAGGAGGAGGATGCAAGGACCCTTGCTTACCACCAATTGGAGGACTGCCCTGTTGAAGGATCCATCAGCTGTAACAGTTTGCATCATGGCATAATCAGCTCCTGAAGGCGTGAACAGAGTCTCACAGAACTGCAGGAGAGGGGCCTCTCACAGTGAAGTTAACAATACAGACAGGACACTAGTCGGTTGGGCCATCACACCTTGTGGGGGAGAAACTGCAATTAACTTGTAACAAAGCAGTATGCAGGCCAAAATCCATTTGGAAAGTCTCTGAGAAGAGATTGCTTCCCCTCTCATACATTCCATAAAGGATATACACAGCCTAGGTCAGTGTTTTTCAAAGTTCAGGTCGCAACCCAGTACTGGGTCGTGGCACGTAAGGCCACCCAGCGACCGTAGCAGCTCTGATCAGCACCATCGACCGGGACACTAAGAGTGCCGTCAGCAGTGCTGCGCAGCTAAGGCAGGCTAGTGCCTACGGAAGCAGGCAGCAGCGGCTTCAGCTTCTAGGCAGGGGGCCACAGGGCTCCGCTTGCTGCTCTCCCTCACCCTCGAGCACCAGCTCTGCACTCCCATTGGCCAGGAACCAATGGTGGGGAGGCGATGTCTGCAGGCGAGAGCCGCATGGAGCCACTTGCACACCTCTGCCTAGGAGCTGGACCTGCTGCTGGCTGCTTCTGGGGTGCAGCGCAGTCCCCAGTGCCAGGACAGGTGGCAAACCTGTCTGCACCCCGGCTGGCGGCTGCGCTGCTGACCAGGAGCCACCGGAGGTAAGTCTGTGCCCCAATCCCCTGCCCCAGCCCTGAGGCCCCTCCCACACCCTAAACCCCTCATCCCCAGCTCCATTGGGTCGCGGGCATCAACGATTTTCTTCAACTGGGTCCCCCCCAAAAAAGTTTGAAAACCACTGGCCTAGGTGATTTCCTAAAGGATTTAGTCCTTTGCAGGTAGAATGCCAAAGCTTGATGGACGTCCAGAGAATCAAGTTTTCCATCCTCACTGGTGGCATTTGGCCAGGGGACGAAAACGAGCAAGTGAGCAATCTGCTTTAGATGAAATTCCGAGATTACTTTGGGGGTGAATTTTGGGCGTAATCTCAGGGAAACTTTGTCCCTATGGTAGATTGCGTAAGGCAGATCAGCCATAAGGGCCCCCCGTTTATCCTCTTTTCTAGATGAGGCGATGGCAACCAGAAAGGCAACCTTCATTGATAGGTGGACTAAGGAGCATGAAGGTAAGTGTTCAAACAGAGCCTTTGTTAATGCTGATAGGGCTACCATATCGAGGTAGTTTCATTCTTGGAAGACAGATTCTGACAACCTTTTAGAACGCCTACTGTAACAGGATGGGTGAAAGGTGTGCTGACATCTGCTAAGTGCACCTGCAGGGAGTGAAGATATAATCCTGAAGTTTTTAAGGAGAGAAGGTAGTCCAAAATGGCAGGGATTATCATCCTGATAACTCTCTGGGGTTATCAGGCGGCGTTGGCACCAGATGGAAAATATTTCCCACTTTGCTGTGTAACACTTCCCTGTGGAATCCTAAGGATGGATTGTACTGCCTCCAAACATGCCTTTTCTAGGTTTGTCATCCATTCAAATACCAGGCTGTTAGGTGGATGGATGCTGGCTTGGGATGTGTGAGCTTGGCTCTGTCCTGGGTCAACAGGTCCAGGAAGACTTGGATACAGATGGGCATGCTGGCATCTGGAGAATGCTGGCATCTGGAGAATGCTGGCAAGCCAGAATTGTCTTGGCCATTTGGGAGAAAGCAATACCACCAATGCTCCCTCTTACTTGATATTCCTCAGAATTCAAGGTAAGAAGGGAATGGGTGGGAAGGTGTATGTCAGTGGGCCCAAACATTGAACTAGAAATGCGTCCCCTCTGGAGCAGTAGGTCAGACATTTCCCGTTTTTCTCAGATGCAAAGAGGTTCCAAGATAAGGAACCCCACTGCTGAAATATGTTCTGTACTACCAACTCATGTAGCTCCCATTCATGATACCTAGAGAAGTGCCTGCTGAGACTGTCTGCTAACATGCTGTATACCCCTGGGAGGTACACTGCTGAGAGGGTGAGCTGGTGGCAGATACACCTGTTCTACAGATTGACTATTTCTATGCAAAGAGCAGTGGACCTTGCTCCCCCTTGTTGATGTAGTACTCTGTTGTCAGGTGTGACTTGGATATGCAAAGTCTGAATGAAGGGTAGGAAATAGTGGCAGGCCTCATGAACTGACTGTAACCATGAGGTAGGTATGCTTTAGCATTGATAAAGTTCAGGGTCGCCCCAATAAAGTCTATAGTCTGTGAGGTGGAAATTAAAATGGATGTTTCTATTTTTACTTGAAGCCCCAATTAGCATAGGAGACTGAGGGGAGATGTGGTTGCCATCTGTACCACTTGATGAGAGTAATCAATCATTGAGGTAGGGGAACACTGATGAGACCTGGTGGTAGAGGTGGGCTGCCACTACCAATAGCCTCTTTGCGAATACCCTTGGCACTGTTGTGAGGCCAAAGGGGAGCAGCACTCTGTATTGGTAGTGGTCCGGGCCCATGGTGAATCTCAGGATCTCCTGTGTACAGGGCGATGTCTATGTAGAAATATGCATCTTTTGAATCAAGATGTGTAAATTAAATCAAGCCAATTGCCCTTGTTCAGTGAGGGAACTACGGAGGCAGCTTAAATATCCTGAACCTCATGCGACAGATGAAAATGTTCAACTGTTTGATATCCAGAATGGGTCTCAAGCCTCCTCTCTTCTTGGGAATGATTTTGAATAAAACTGGTTCTTTGATTTTGAATAAAACTGAGAGGAACTGGTTCTATGGGCCTTATTATGTCCCAGTTTGCAGATCGTACTGGTGAGTGGCTCTCTGTTTCATGCACGCCCTGGACCAATGGTGTAGGGATTTCCCTTGTCAGGATCGGTTCCAACAGAATCAGGGATTCTGGGTCCACCATGTAGATCCACTGCCCCTGAGCACACTGCTATCTATCCTCTGACGCAGGAGAGTGGACGGGGCTTCTTTCTTTCCATGGCACCAGTGGTATCAGTCTCACTGCAGTCTTTGGTTCTGGCAATTCCTTTTCATGGTGCATCAGTAGCGTCAGTGTATGAAGCGTCCACTGTTGTTTTTCCCTAGTCAGTACCAGGGATGGTCCTGCTCCTACAGTTAGCATCTGTTTTGGGGTGTTTTTGCCCTTCAGAGCCAGGGGAATGGTACTGTGCTTCTTGTGAGCTCCTCAGATTTCCATACTGAGGCACAGAATCTCCCCCAACTTGGAGGGTGTCAGAGAAGAGGCCTTCATATTTCTCAGCAAGTATTTACTTCACTCTTTGGAAGAGTCCTTTAATTTACTCCTATCAGTCCTGAAGCTGGTGACCACCATACTTGGAAGGCACTTCTTGGTTCCTCTGCCCAAAGTACAGGGGGGGTCTGATAGGCCAGGATCAGACTGGGGCCTCATAGCATGATCCATTAGGAATCTTCAAAGTCTATACTCATGAGCTTGACAGGTTTGGCTATGAAAGGATCAGCAAACGCTGTACTTCAAAGGGATGTGGGCTTCCCTGAGGCACTAGAGACACTTGAGGTAGTCATCACAGACTGGAAAGGCCTGAGGGCAAGATGCACAGTTTTTGAATCTTGGGGTCCTGGGCATACTATGGAGGAAGGAGTGGTTTGAATAGGGAGAGGATCCCCTAAGCCCTGAACCGGTAAGGGCTTGTCTACACAGAGACACTCAGGAAAGATCACCTGAATTAACTAAAGGTGTGAATTACAAGTGGACTAAATTGCATTAAACCCCTATATAGACACTCCCATTGAAAATTCAAGTGGCCTTAATTCGTTTTAGCTTAATTCACTTCCAAAGTGAATTTGGGACTTGTTTACATGAACAATTTGTTCATGACAAACGGGGGTTTGAATCTACCCTGCACTAGTTTGCTGCAGACTAAGAGTATGTCTTCACTACCAACGTTAAAGCGCAGCCGCAGCACTGCTTTAATGTGGCTGTGTAGTTGCTCTCCCAGCGCTGCAAAAAAACCACCCGCCCAAGGGGAGTAGCTACCAGCGCTGGGAATGCGACTCCCAGCGCTGGTGCACTTTCTACTCTGTCACTTTACAGCACTGAAACTTGCATTGTTCAGGGGGTGTGTTTTTTCACACCCCTGAGCGAAAAAGTTCCAGCACTGTAAAGTGGCAGTGTAGACAAGGCCTAACTGTTCATGTGGACCTTGCTGATATGCATTAACAGTCCGCCAGTTCACTTTAATCTAGGCCTCTTTGAAATGGACTAGATTAAAGCAAGCTAGCAAACTGTTAATGAGCATCAGCAGAGTCTGCAGCAGGCTAGTATGGGGTAGATTCACACCTCAGTTTGCCACAAACTAAATGTTCATTGTCGAAAAATCCAAAGCTAAAATGAAATAAGGCCCCTTTAATTCTGAGTGAGAATCTCCACAAGGGTTTAGTGCAGTTTAATTAACCCACTTTTAATTCATAACTTTAGTTCATTTAGATTAACTTTTGAAGTGTCCTCGTGTAGACAAGCCCTAAAACTACACTAAGTATAAAAACTATGTATCTAATACCTATTTGCAGATCATTACAAATAGAAGCAGAAGAGTGCTGACTAATGCTATATAGCTAGCAAAGGAGTTCTGCCTCAGGCCATGGGCTGCAAGAATCAACTGGAAAGGCAGTCCATCCGCACCACCCCCTTATGCCTTTCGTTTGGAGCATGAGAAGAAGAAGGGTGCAGGCACAGACAACACTGCGAGCAAGAATCTTCTGGTCTCAGGCACCTGGAGCGTGTGCACAGCCCCAGTGGAATATACACAGAGACCATCACTCAAAGAAGCATATATTTTCTTTGCAATTCATGTTTAAAATAGACTTTTCTGCATACATTTGTTTTTAATCTGCATATTGGATCATCAGGTGTAAACTATATTCTTGTCTGCTCTATACTGTCAGTTCCTGGATAAAAGCTGTTTTTATGGTAGCCAGACCGGCATTCACTTATACAGTTCACATAATTCACATTGTCTGGACTTTGATCCTTGAAACTATTTTATTGTTATAATTTGTTATCATAAACAAGGCTTCACATTCAAATTTACCACCACAACTTGTCTTCAGAACTCTGTCTACTACTTCCTTTTTACATAAATTCTGTATAGGACTTTAATCCCAAACATGCTATATTAGCAAACTATATTTCATTATAATACATCAACAACAAGTACATTTATTTAATTTCTAGAAAAACAGTGGCCGCAAAACAGTGACATAAAATTCCTAGGGAAGTACTTACCATGTTGTCTTTGATAACAGAAGGAGTCCATCCTTCAAAGGCATATGGGGAACGAATGTTGTCTCCATGCTGACAATCAAAGCAGCGGTACACATCATACCCATAATTCAGCAACATTCTTAACATGATTTCATCTTTTAGAGAATACTGCAGAGCTGAGGGGAAATGCGTCGTATTCACTCTGCAGAAGTAATTTACATTGGCCCCATGCTGAAGCAGTAGATTGATTAGCTCGTAGTTGCCCATTCTCAAGGCTAGCTGGAGGCACTTAATGGGGTCTTGATTTGGCAGGGCTCCAGCATCCAGAAGCAGCTGAGTTGAGCAAATATCCCCATTTGAGACAGCAAAATATAAAGCTGATTTCCTCTGATCATCGTAGCCTTTGCGAACCCTCTCATGCAACATGAAATTGGCATCGAACCCAGATTTGAGGAGAAACTCAAGGCACTGAGGATGTGCTCCTGCTGCTGCTGAGTGAACTGGACTTATCCCACTCTCCTTAATGGCAGCATAATCAGTAACTGCAGCTAGCTGCTTTAAAGCGCTGGAGAAAGAAAAAAGAAGGAATATATATCTATATATTCTCTAGTACCAACCTTTGAACTTCTCTGTGCTGCAGTCTTTGTTACATGCATCTTAGCTGGGTTACAGAATTGTGTTCTGCTTTGCTTACAGTGTTGTTCATTTACTACCAAATGAGTAGCCTGGCATACTACACATCTGCACTGGCCTTAACTTCTGACAATTACATGATAACCAGCTATCAATCCTACAGATTTACAAACTACTGGACTAAGCATCAAATATTATGTCTTTCCCTTTTGTCTTTCAGGAACATTCCATTTCCCATTTTTTAGCTAATGGAATAACATCATGACTCCTTAGAGAAGACCTTCCCCATCCCATCAGTTTGGAGAAGTCTGTAGAGAGCACTCACTCTTCTGTAACCTACAGAAAGTGGGAGAGCCCCTATTTTGTTGACCACAATGCAGTGTTACTAGTAGCTAAAAGCTGTGGTCTGGGACCTAAGACATCACGTTCTGTTCCTGACTTGGGCACTGAATAGTTGTATGACTGAAAGCAACCCAACACTTCCAGTGCCTCTGTTTCCCAATCTGTAAAATGAAGGTGATCCTTATTCCACAGGCATGTCTGACAGTTTAATGTCTTTAAAGCACCAAGTGCAATTGTTTTTATATCTGGTCCTGCTCTCTGCAGGTACATCAGGAGAGGATGTGGAACAGCTCTGGCCTAAGTCACCTGACCATCCAGTTAGAGCACAATAAAGGAAAGTTATGTACCTTATAGCTACTGGAGTTATTTGAGATGTGGGTATTTGCTGTAGGTGTACATGCATTCCATGCACCCAGGACCAGAAGTCCCTCAATAGCAGTGTCCACTGGTCCATGCCTGCACCTGCTCATGCTGCAAGCCGAGGGGTTAAGAGACAGTAGGGTCCAATCACCTCTCCAGTTCCTACTCTACCATGAGTCATCCAAAGCAGAGGGGAAGGAGTGTGAGTCGTGAATATCCATAGGGAGCACACATCTCGAACTCGAGTTACTACGAGGTAAGTACCCCTCCTTTCTTCTACGAGTGCTGGTCCCTATGGGTATTCACTCTAGGAGACTCCCAAGCAATAACTGTTGAGGAGGTCGGTGCAAGGAAGAACTCTTGCCACAGATCACAGGATTGCTGGACTGAAGGAAGCATCCTCAGCTGAGGCTTGAATATCAACACTGACAGGTCTGGCCATTACACTAGGAAGGCATCTCTTCTGGAGCAGCACCCGTGAGCATCCTGAGAGCAATAAGCTGGGGACTTTGGTTTCCTGAGCTGCAGAGAGGTCACAAGATGGGAATCCCTAGTGGTTAAAAATCCATTGGATCACTGACCATTAGAGCTCCCACTCACATCTTTGTGACAATTCCTGCTTAGGCTGTCTGCTAATCCCTAAATTCATAATCCCTGCCAGGTGCATGGCAGAAAGGGAGGTTTGATGCTAGGTAACCAGTTCCAGAGCTGCAGAGTGATATGGACCTTGCTCCCCCCTTTTGTTTATATATTAAACCGTGGTCGTGTTGCCTGACCTGAGCTGGATATGAGTAGAATGGATGAAGTGCAGGAACTGCTTGCACACTCTGTGGAATGCTCAAAGCTTGAGAAGGGTAATGTCGTGTGGCCTCTTGTGGAGTCTAGAGCCCTGAGCTATACATTCATTCAAGTTTGCTCCCCAGCCTAAAAGGGATGCATCTATCATGATTAAGGCTACAATTTTGTCATGGACATTTTTAGTAAATGTAACGGACAGGTCATGGGTAATTAACAAAAGTTTACAGAAGCCATGACCTGTCCATGAGTTTTACTAAAAATGTCCATGACAAAACGGGGAGGAAGGAAGGTTGAGCTGCCCCGTGGCTGGGAGCTGGGAGGAACCCCAACCTGTGGCGACCACCCGGGGACTGGGAAGGTCTGGGGGATTTCCCCCCAAGTGGGGGAGCTGTGGGGGACCCACCCGCCAGTGGGGACTGGGGATCTCCAGGGGATTCCCTTGCTGGCAGCAGTAGCTGAGGAGCTGCCAGGGATCCCCCACTGCCCATGGGGATTGCGGAGCTGCGGGGGACCCCCACCACTCCAGGCGGCAGGGGTCCCCTGCAGCTCCCGGCTACCCCGGGAGGTGGGGGTACCCTGCAGCTCCCAGCCGCCAGGGCTGAGATCATGGAGATCACAGAAGTCACGGATTCTGTGACTTCTGCGACCTCCGTGACCAAATCATAGCCTTAATCATGATTACCTTTATGGGTGGGAGTAAAGGAACCACCATACAAACATTGTCACTCTTTTCCTAGTAGGTGAGAGATGCTCAGACAGTGAGAGGAAATCTGATTCTTTTGTCAAAGGAGTCCTTGTTTGGAACATAGACCCTTGTAGCCAAGTCTGGAGACTGCATAGGTGGAAACCGGCAAAGGGAGTCACATAGATGGATGCCATCATTGTCCTAGGAGGACCAAGTAGGATTGGACCATCATCTGATGACTGAGGCAAAGTTGGATACTGAGGTCTCTAATCATGAGGAATCCGGCCTATGGTAAGTAGGCTCTGGCTGCATGGAAGTCTAGCACTGCTCCAATAACTGTTTAAGCGGACTTTCGTGCGTTTACTTGAAGTTCTCAGGAGTGGCATAGGTCGAGCAGGGCAGAATTTCTACTTGTACCTCCTTATATGGCCATTCCTTGAGGAGCCCATCATTTACACAGGTGAATATATGGTGGTGTTGCCAGCCTTGGTACGCTACCACTACTGTCATGACCTTTGTAAAAAATCCTTTGTGCTGCTGAAAATCCAAAGGGGAACACATTGCACTGGATGTACTTCGAGCCTACCGTGGGACACAGGGATCTCCGGTGCACCACGTAGATATCTATCTGGAAATAAAACCCCTTTAAATCAAGAACCACAAACCAGTAGCCTTCATTCAGGGAGGGGATGATAGAAGCCAGGGTAATCACCCTGAATCTTGAGTGACAGATGAAGACATTCAATTGCCTGATGTCCAGAATGGGTCTGCAACCCGCCTTCTTTCTTGGGGTTAGGAAATACCTGGAGTAAATGCCCTTACCCTGGTGTTGAGGAGGTACCTAGGTGGATTAGGTAGTCCACTTCCTCCTGGAGAAGCTCTTATGAGAGAGGTCCCTGAAGAGGGACAGGAAGGGAGGTCTTGGAGAAGAGGTAGCCAGGAACTCAATGGTATAGCCTATTGAGATGTCTAAAACGAATTTCTCTGAAATTAGATGCTTCCACATCAAAAGGAAATGGGCTAGACAGTTACCAAAAGGGGGTAGAGAGTGGTTTTGCAAAGACTGGCTGACATCTCTCAATCATCCTTTCAAAATGACTTCTTGATAGATGGCTGGGTCTGGAGATGGGACAATGGTGGTGGAGCACTAGTATGAGCAGGGACAGAGTAGCAGATCTCACACTTCGACAGGAAGTAAGATTCCCCTAGGCAGTGTAGAGGTAACTCTCCTGCAAAATTGCTAACTGGGAAGACAGGAGGCCAGAGAAGGCAAGGCTTGAAGCCTTGGACCTTGGGCATAAGTGCCCCGAACACTGGGGGAATAAAAATGGTGGGGGTGGGAACCTGACTCCACTAACTAACTACAACTTAAGAATCTACTAACTAACCAGTAAAACCTAATACAACTATTTACAATATTTACAGAGAATGGATTGATGATGCTAGAAGGCTGTGGACATAAGAGGGCTCCGCTCCAGAGTGTGAGCAGTAGAAAAGGAACTGGAGTGGTGGTTGTTTCTGTGTCACCCCTTATGCCCTCAGTTCACAGCACAAGGTGGCACAGGTGCGGACCAAATGGACATTGAGATTGAAGAATTTCCAGTCATGGTGCATAGAGCACATGTGCACCCACAGTGACTACGCATAGGGACCAGCTCTCAAAGAACAATAACAATTTTTATGAAGGAAGCAGGAGGAGATGTAAGGGGTTAAATGTTCCCCCCAAAACAAAGCGAGTGCTGAGCCTATCTGGACTGGCCTGACACATTCAGGCACTGAAGACTCAGACTTATAAGGCAAAGGAAGACACCCCTCCCTCCCCCGCCCCCCACAAAAGCAGTGTATTTAACTGCCTTTTTTTCTGTATAAACTTTAAATGTACATATTTTGCAGAACCTATTCATCATTACTCATTCTTATTTTTCAAATATTTATTTCATTTCAACTCACAGAAAGTGTCCTCTGTATGCAGCTCTGTGGATAGGCAAGTGACCTGAGTGTTTTGGCACATTGGCATCAGCTCCATATTCTAGTAAAAGAGAGAGTGAATCTGGATTTCCTCCTCCAACAGCTTCAAATAATATGGAAGCACAATCAGCCGCCTGTGAAAGGACATCAGCACCTAGGGGAAGAAGGAACAAGGGTTTTCATAGCAGTTGCTGTAAATATCCAGTAACAATTAGTATCTTTAACTCCCCAATTGCTACAGAACTGTGATTTCTACTCTTCATGAAACATAAATGTTAGAGCAATAGCCAGTGTTTTCGCTCACTGTAAATCCTTTGAGGTAGCATCCTTGACTTCCTGTGTGTTTGTACATTGCCTAGTGCAGTAAGGCCCCAATCTCTTTGGGCATTATTGTAATATAAATATTCATAATAATGAAACACCATAATTAGAAGATTGCATTGCGTGTTATTCTCTTACATGAGTAGTTGGTTTTTGGACTAAATACAGCACAATTAATTCAGCAGAGAACAAACATATGTAAGGGAAAATTAAAAATGTACAAAGCACCAGAGCAGAGACCTGAAAAGGAGTGAGATACATTTCATTACAACAGAAAGACATGGAGACTATAAACTGAAAAAGGCTCACTTACCAAATATTATTTTTTGAATATATTGCCTCTGCCAGGGGCTGAGGAACTTGAGGGAGGGGCGAGTGCCACTGCAATGGAAATATTGGGAAAGGGACTTATGTATGCTTCCCCTCCCCCTCTCTCTCCCCCTCCCCCCTCTCCGTCCCCCTCCCCCACTGTATCTTGTAAAAGTGAGAGTGGGACCTGGCTCGCATGGGGATCGGGGGCAGTGGCAAGACCAAGATCCAGAGGAAGAGCTGGAGTGACTGTTGCAGTGCAGGAGATCAAGCCTGCTGCTGGGAGCTGGTAGGAACAGCTCTTTTCTCCTCCCCTTCCGGCCACTGCAGGTCCCAGCAGAGGCACCTAGCCCAGGGAAGGGACAGGGCCACATGTGCCAGGATGGGCTGGGAGACAGGGCACCAGCACATAGGCCAGGACAGAGAGGGTGTTCAGTGCACAGGGCATCAGGAAGTGCAAAGATGCCCTTCAGAGTTTGGACCTGATCCCTCAGCCCTCCACCCTCCTCACTGAGTCTCAGTAGCTCCCCTTGCTCCCCCTCATTTACAGAGAGCTTCTGCTGGCCTCTTCCCCCCACAAGTCCCATGCCTCTGCAGATCCACACTGATAGTATATGCCCTGTCACATGCTGATGGAATCCATTTCAAGGCAATTTGAGTGTGGGGGATTGCATGCATCCCCCTTTATTACAGAACGAAGGGGGATAAAATCCTCCACTCCAAAGTGTCTCACTCTCTTCCAGAGATGGCTTGTCTACATGAGTAAATACTATTTTATTTAAGCATGATTGGAAATGCTTTCATTAACTGACACAATGCTGACCACAACTTTGTGGTCGGTGTAGACCAGGGAATGGAGAACCGCGGCCAGTGGGAGCTGCGATCGGCCGAATCTGCGGACGCTGTAGGTAAACAAACCGGCCCGGCCCGCCAGCGGATTTTCCTGATGGGCCGCGTGCCAAAGGTTGCCAATCTCTGGTATATACAAACACAAGTCATATGTCAGTTAGTAATGGTTAAACCTCTGTCGTAGTGGTTCAGTTTAAATACTACAACATGTTCTCAGGTAGACAAGGCCAGAGACTGGCTTTTACAGTGTAGATCTGCAGAAACAACATTATGAAGGAGAAACAAAAGTTACTGTCTTAACAACAAAATCTTGATGTTTAAAGTGACAAGGTGGGTGAGATAATATCTTTTATTGGACCAATTTCTGTTGGTGAGAGAGATAAGCTTTTGAGCTTACACAGAACTCTTCTTCAGGTCTGGGAAATGTAGTCAGAGTGCTACAGCTAAATACAAGATGGAACAGATTGTTTAGTATAAATATTGCCAGGGACCGTTCAAAGTGAAGTGGCCATTAACATGACATTTACATTTTTTTCATGGCAAAGTTAATGGCAATCAAGAGGAAAAGGAAATGCTATTATCTTCTCTTCCCCCATCTTCATTTTAATAGTGTCTAGGCCACAGTACGGGATGAAGTGTTAGCTGAAGACTAAAAACTCATAATGAACATGCTCTCTGTAACTGTAAACAAAGGCCAGGTAGATTTAGCCTACAGTTCTCTTTGGGAAGGAATATATTTAAAAAATTCCATTGTGTTGTGTTTATGCATTTATGTTGCTTGGTCACAAAGCTCCTTTAGTTGGAGGTATTCCTTTAGTAACAAATATTATCTGTGCTATGTGTAAAAGGCATGTCATATGATGATTAGTTTAATAGTATTCTAACCACAAAACTTTTGAAAGACTTAAGGAATCTGGGTAGATATAATAATGATTTGAAAAGATAATGTAGTATGGATGTCTTAGAAAAATATCGAAATTTAGTAGTTTATGTAATGATACCAACAATTCTTAACTGCTGTGCTTGTCCTGTATTTTGTAAGAGTGAAGTTCTTCAGGTGATTGAAGATGTACTGTAGTGAGCAAACAAAAACAGGATACCGTGCAGAAAAAGTCATTCCTATGTGCTAACGTGCATACCCTTGAATATACAAAGTGACTGGTGTAATTCACTCTAAAACACTCTACATAAAACCATCAATTTATATACTAGGTTGTATATATTAATACCTGTCCACTATGTTAGTAGTAAGAATGTCACAAGGCTTCCATTTCCACTCAAAACCTTATTTTGGTACGGTAATATTGTACAAACAGGGGAGCTAGCAATTCTACTTTGCCACTGCACAGACAATTATTATGCCCTCAATGGGAGGGGGATTAATTTACTCACATTTTGAAATCATGAATTTTCTGCCAACACACATGACTATGCAATTTCAACCCCTTGTCTAGTCTAAAGAATAAGAACTTCGTAGGATTTTTCTGACAACCACCAGTTATTAAACCAACATAACAAACTGTTAAAAATTTTGATATAAATTCTCACCTTTTCGCAGTAAAATTTCCATAATTTCTGTATGCCCAATCTGTGCAGCCAGTGCTAGGGGCGTGAGCCCATATGCACTGCGGGGATCAGGATCTGCTCCAGAGCAAAGCAGAAGGTTCACGATATCTTTCCTGCCTAGTCTGGCTGCTTCATGTAAAGCTGTCCTCTTATTGACACACTGCAAGTTTACATTTGCTCCAAAACTTATCAGCAGGGAGGCAATTTCATATAAATCATGTTTAATTGCTGTAAGATAATAGGTGAAACATCAGCTATTTAAAATATTATTTAACAATATTCTATACACTATTGTTTCTGTTGTGCAACTGCCCAGGAGAGCCTCTACTCTGCTTTCAGCTGTTCTATTTATACCCAGAGATATCTAAGAAAAAGAATTAATAGATGGGGAATATTTCCCTCTCTCTCTGTGATCTTCTATACCATTAAAAAGCAGAGCACTGTCATACAGAAGAGAGAGATTAGTGTCCCACAGTTGCCTGCAGCACTTTTACCAAATGATGCATTATCTGATGTTACATTCTCCAAATACAACAGGTTAAACAGCGGAGAACATGTAACCCAGGTGGCTGAGAGGTGTACACCTTCTCAGCCAAGGATGCAACTGACTTTCTAGTGTAGTTGGCTTTGAAAGCAAGTTTCCCTGTCTATATGGCTTATCCACTTGGATTTGGATGTTACAGAATGTTTTTTCTTCACTTTTCTCGTTCCTTGGCCCTTGTGCAAGAAAACAACCACTCCAACAATGTGAATTTCTGAGCACACTTAAGAAATTAATAGCACCCTTCTAAGGTTCAGACAGCAGGGCATAGGTGCTGGCAGTAGGGGTTCTGGGGTTCGGCAGCACACCCTGGCTTGAAGTAGTTTCCATCATATACAGGGTTTACAGTTTGGTTCAATGGCTCTCGGATCACAACTATACAAACTGTTACAGCACCCCTGCAGCAGGGTCCTTGCTTGTTCATGGTAGCTAGGATTGAGTCAGAAGAAGGCAACATGAATCCTTTTTGAGGGGAAGACCTGTCTTGTTCCACCTAGACTGCTGAACCCTTGCCATGTAGAGTGCCTTGGGAAGAGGAGGGTCATCTAGACCTCCTTGCTTTTGAGGGAGTCTTTGAGAAAGAAATTCTCAACTTTTTGTTTTCCCTTTTAAAAATTTTACCTCTCACTCTTTATGGGAGGTAAGAAGCAGTTGCAGGGTCTGCTTTGCATGTGAGAGCTTGGCAGCCCGGGCAATGCCCGGCATTGGAGAGCCTGCAGAACTTAGCTTTGTTGTGATTCTGCAAGGAACAGCTCATTGCACATTGGAGCAAGAATCCCACAACATCCCATATGCTGGTGTGAACCTAGAAATTCCCATAGGACTTTGTAGCCTACTCCATTTTTAAAACTTTTTACTTAGCTGGCAAAGATATTGACTCTCCACCAACTGCTGGAGACTGAAATAACTGAGCTCTAGTAGCCAACAAGTCCCAGGTTTGCAGAAAATCACCTGACATCACCAAATAGCCCTGATGCCGGAAGAGAGGAAGTATCTATTGTTCATCGTTAGAAGAAGTGAGGTGGTTAATCTCCAGAGTTATGAGATACTTTCAGACCTCCAAAGGAGTAAAAATCTTTCAAAAATAGATTCTCTCACAATACATTGATGCTTCATTTTCCAATCCTGGCCAGCCCCCAGAAGTGCAAAAGCAAGCACAAATGGGGGATTCTGAAAAAAAGTTAACTAAACTTTCTTTGAACTTGGGGGAAAAAAAGGCATGGTTCAAGTTTTGAGGGAAAGATTGTGCAGATTCTTATTTTATCTGAACTGATTCACCATCCCTAATATGTCATTTAGTTATGGCTCATCTACACTACAATCATACCTGTCTGAGGAAACTTGTTTAATAGTATAGGCAGGTCCTCAACTGGATTTCTGGTCTTTTGTGGGTGTTAGTCCTTAGAATAGATTGGGCTTTAGTTAAAGCATTGATACCAACTGGAAAGAAAAGTAAATGACAAAGTGTTCCTCTGTCTTTCTCATGGCCAATGGAAATATATAAAATTCTGGAAACTGAAAGTTTTACAGACTTTACAGTCAACAACAAAAGATTTCAAGATACAAAACAAATTTTTCATGCAATGAAAGACATGAATAGAATTTCCCCCCACCATAAAAATTATTTGATTTACCTATAACTAAAGAAGAATCTCCTTCTTCATTCTTAACATTAGGATTGCAGCCACTGTGCAGGAGAAAGTGGACATTGTCTAAGAGACATTTATCTACTGCTACAAAGAGAGGAGTTTCGCCTTTCAGACTGGTCTGCTCCCACACAATGGGGTCTGAAGCTGAAAGATACCCAGGAAAACAGCACACATTGGGAATGGAACTAATCATCAAAACGGACTTAGTAAAACATGGAGGAGCACAGAATGCTCTTTACCCTTCAGAGTTATTTCTAGGATGTTCTTGTTTAATTGTGCTGCAGCTTCATGCAAAGGAAGCCAGCCTCGCTGATCAGCTTCCTTAAAAGCTGAACTGTGCCTCATCAACTTCAGCAAGTCTGCTTCTTGGCCTGCAGAATCAGAATTATATCATACTACTTAGCAGAAAAGAGAAATGTCAACACAATTGAAATCTTTGACTCCACTTACATCAAGGAATATTTTGAGTAACACCAACCCCGTTACTACAGCCAGAACTGGCAACTTCGCTTCTCAAAACAATTTTCTATCTAAGGTTGATTTAAATGAATGTAGTGATAGTGATATCACTAATGATAGTGATTTATTGGGCTCATTTTCTCTCGAGGAATCCTCCGAAAGCATTTTAGAAGCTGCATATATCAGAATTATATGCTTATAATCAATGCTCAATTAGGCTTCCTATGCTACAATAATACAAATAGTAAATAAATAGTATAAAAATACAAATAATAAATAATTAGTATAAACATTTGAAATTCAGCTGCCTCTGAAATAGAACATGACAGCTACTGAACAGCTCAAAGGAACTCTACACAAGAGTTTGCAACATGAAGTTAATACTTGTCCCACTGAATCTATATATGAATTTTCAGCTCTGCAGAATAAAATTAAGCTAGAATTTGAGTAACACACAAAAGCTACTTTTACTACCTCTACTCTTGCTAAAAATGCCACGGAATGTTTAACTGATCATAAGTGGTCTGGTCTTCAATTTTGCATCTCATCTGAAAGATGGAATCTCCAGTAGCATAGTGCCCAAAACATCATTCTGGGTGTTCAGCTCTTAGAAAGTGAGGGAAGAATGCAACCTACTCAGTCCTTAACAAAACTTCCTACACCAATTACATTAGAATAGAGTGATGATTTGTGTGTTTGTACTTAACTGCCCGTATTGCTGTGATTATCTTTCCATGTTCTGTGCTCATAACAAACTGGAATCTGCACAAACAGAACAAAAGAATAATAATTTATATCAGTTAAAGGGAAAATATGCATGCTATTAAAGTAAAAATAAATAAGTAAATGCTGTAACTATCTGCTGCTTAATAACAGAGCAGAATCATTTTGATTTGTTTTGTAAATAGTAGATACTCACAAAATTTACTTATTTATTTTACTTACTTATTTTCTATTGTTTGCTGTTTCCCAATTTGCACTAGTTACCTATTGTGACTCAATGAAACACATTCACTTTGAAAAGGAAGCTGAATTTCACATTCTCTTGATCACAGTTCCTAATCCTTGTAACAAAAATCCCAATGATGAAAGATAAGCATATAATTAGAACTCAAGTTTTAATATAGAAAAATAGTTTGTACTGCATGTTATAGCTGCATAGAACATGGGGCTTTTTCTTTGTTAGAGCCTGTACCAGTATAAACCATAACTCTTAGCTCATATATAATAATTTTCAAAGAGTACAATATAAATACATTCTTCAATTTCAGTTAACATGGATTCACACCTCTTTCCCTCCCAAGAGTTATTTGGAGTCCTAGGTTTGTACATGCACAAAAATATAAGATTTGTGAACTTTAGTCACCCTTTTGCTGAATGTGGTATAAATGTGCACTGAAACCCCCAAACAAGTAAGTTTCAAGTGCTCTCAAATTTCACTTGGGAAAATTTCAAACAGCTCATCTCTATTATGTGTACATATAAAAGGAAAGGCAGCTTATACATGAACCTCAGCAACATTAAGCATGCAGTCTACAATGGCAAGCATTATCGTGCAGGGTTACATATAAAAATACTAACATAATCATAGAATCATAATCATAGAATCATAA